ACAAGTAGTTTCCGGTGAAAAGTTTTACATAACCCTTGAAGTCAATGAAACCGATTGCGATAAACATGTCACTGACTTGAAGCCGTGTAAAGTTATTGTAAGTATCCATACATTTGTACCATTTATTGAACATTTATTGCTTTAAAAACACTAATTGTAATGAATATTGAATTGTATAGAGGAGTGAAGTCTGCACTTCTGTGGTATTGTCTCGTCATTGGGATCCGACCGACAAAAACCAAATTCTGTCCTTCAATTGCAATGGAATCTAGTTTTCTGAATAGGATTTAAATTTATTAGGACTTTATTTTTTAAATTTTAATTTAGGACTACAACACATTTGTATTTTACACATTTTTTTTATATAAAATAAAGTTAAATTTTTAAAAACATTTTGTTAAAATTTGAATTTATTTACACACTGAGAAAGAGAATATAATTGTCAATAAGACTCAATTATTTGTAAACTTTAGAAAGTTATTAAATTAAAAAAATGATTTTTAGTAATAATTTTAATTGTGTTATCATAACAAATACCATTACAATAACAATTACTTTAGATCACAAGTGAATAAACATCAATTCACGTCTACGTCAAAGATATTTACATAAATTTAATTAAAAACCCACAAAACACTGAATAACTATTGCATTGAAGCCTTAACTAGTATAAGAATACTGTAACAGAATATTCTGTACGTATTGTGGATGTCATACAAATAGCACACATTGTTTGTGAACGTAATGTAAACATTGAATGACTGAATGACTGATTATTTTGAGTGAAAACTTCAAAACTGATGACAAGTTTGAATGCAATTTAAATTATGATCTAAATGAAAAACAGGTTTTTATACCAAAGATATAAATCAAGTGTTAATTCATTGAATGAATAATTAGTTTCACTTTCAATGCCTTTACTTACGATCCGTTAATCCAAAGCTATTTGAGAGTCAATTGAATCGCAACCCAAATGTCGTCCAAAAGCAGGACAACCATTGATTTCTTGTGTTTGGATGAACTGACACTTGTCTTAAGACATCTGAGTGTCACTGAGTTGTACCACTGCCTCCATGTCTGTCCCCAATGGCGCCCAACTATCCGCCAGTTGTTGTCCACCCAGAAATCGGTGACCCTTTGCCTCAACGACATCAGTCACTACACAAATGAAGGTCTCCTCGCAATCCATCACTCATTTGATCCATTAATTGATATTTTTCTGCCACAGAATTGAGCGAAAAATGTGATAATAAGCGCCATTTGGCCGTCAATTCATCGGTGGGTCGACTCATAAAGAGCAAGCAATCCCTCCTCAGCGCCATAACTACTCCTAAATTCAAAGACATTCAAAACGATTTGTTCCCACTTTTGACTGACTTTTGTCCAAACATTCAGTCACTAGATATCAGTCAGTATTTAATTGGTGTGTCAGACATGGAACAGATCTTAGCTGTCTGTCCGCGACTGCAATGTCTTTATGTGTATTCAGAGGACAGAGATTGGATCCAATTCTTGAGCCCAACCACTGCTGGTTTGTATTCACTGTACTTTTCGCTAGTTTTTTATCACTCAATACATGTATCTATGACTCCATGTCTAGGACTCAAACACTTTAGCCTCAAGTTATCGTCGGAGACCCCCATATACGGGGTCCGCGAAACACCATTTGATGTCCAGAAATGCCAAATGAGTCCACAGATTGAAGATTTAGTGCTAATAAGACCGCATATTAATGCCATTAATTTGGATATTCTGTGCCGTTATTTGCAATCATTTGGCTGTCAATTGAAAAAACTTCATTTAATTCCCGGACATAAGATAAGCGCCAATCAGTGCTATGATCTGATCCGAGCGATCGCACCAAATGAATCCAACATATCATTGGTTAAGAACTGGAATATTAATGTCTTTGTATTCAACGGCTTATTCAAAGAGATGACCACAAAGTTACCAAACATTGAGACACTTTATCTTCACTTCAATACAGAGAGCGAACAAAACGATTCGCTGAAGAACCTCAAGAAACTGAAGGAAATTTATTTGGATTTTAACTCAAATGTCAACGAATTTGCTTTCGACAGCTCAGAGGCTGAAAGCGACGTCCAATTCATTGAATTATTGCCTAAAATGCCGTCGACTTTGACTAAATTAACACTATATGACGCAACCCTTTCTCTGACAGCCTTTTTGCAAGCAATCACTTATTTCCCAGATTTACAACAATTAGTGTTGAATTGGGTTTACATTGAGAATAATGACATTGAGCACAACTTTTGGCAGGTATTTCATCTATAGGGTGATTAACCATTCTATTGCCTCAGTAATCAAAATATTTGCTATAATTTTAGGTGATTTCCAACTTTAAGAATCTCTGGTCACTGACATTGGAGTCAACCAACATTACCGATGAGGGCTTGGAGGCCTTGATTGGCAGCGATTCGTTAACTACATTAGAATTAGTCAACTATAAGGGCACCGCTTCCGCACATACACTCATCGATTCATATAAAGTGATTGAAGTGTTTGGACAGTTAGCTACTCTTAGACCCGACCGTTGGTTTCATTTGCGTCTGGATGTGGATGTGTTTAAAGTTAACCATCAAATCAGAGCAAAGACTCCACGAAATGTCAAACTCGTTAATATTGGTTACGAAAAATAATTAACTAAAGCTATTTGCTTAATATACATTCCACAGTATTTTAGATGTTATTAACATTACAATATATATTTCTTGTTAAACAATAAAGAATTATATAAAGTTAACAATTTATTGATACTTATAATATATACCAGTATTATCCAATGTATGTTTGTATTATTTAGTTAATTAGATTTATAAAACTGACATTTACTGTACAATATAATTAAATCTAAAGAAATTATATTTTTAATGATAACAATTAATGTATAAGCAATATTTAATTTTTTAAAAATTTATAAATGCTGGTTTAAACAATAAAATCTCGCGAAAATAACTAAATAATAACTAAATTCGTTAACATATTAACGGTCGGGAGCTCTGAATTATCGAGATATGACTACCGATAAGAGCGAAGAGGGGAACGGTAGCCATAAAGACAGAGATAAAAAGTCAAAAGACGGCGACAAAGCGATGGACAGAATAAGAGACACTAATCTTATTTTGACGAAAACCAAAGATAAAGTAAATAAAGGCAACGAAAAGACACTGAAAACGAGTCCACAAATGTTAGCCAAAGTAAAGGCAAAGAATCCAAAGGAAGTGACAAAAGCAAAGACAAAGCCACAGACAGTGGTAACAGCAAAGAAGAGCCCAAAGACAGTAACACTCCTTTGCCTACAAATAGTAAGAAAAGCGATGCACAGGAGGAAGACAATAGAAGACGAACCGAAAGGGAAGAGAGGAGAAGAAGACGGAGAGAACGGGAGAGAAGGAGTCGAAGCCGTTCTCGAAGTAGAAAAGGCAGCCGAAGAAGAAGACATACAAGAAGTAGGTCTCGTTGCAGATAAGCTATTGTTTGTCATAAAATTGATCAGTTTCTGTGCCAAAAGTGGTCTCATTTTGTAAATTAATTGAAATTATAATCAAACAAAATATTATGCAGTAATTAATGCAATCATTTTTTATTGCCCGTAAATATTGAATTAATTGCTTAATTGTGAATTTGTTTATAAGATAAAGTTTTATTTAAATTAATTGTGATTTAAATATTATCAAATTGAATACAAAATTTCCAGAATTGTTATAGTTTATAAAACTATTTGTTATTGAATGACTTAAAATAAGGTATGTATCAAAAGTTTTAAATACAGAATTTTGTATATAAAATCATTGCATTCTTTTCAAAATGAAAGATTTGAAATTTTTAAAATTTAGAGTTTCAGTCAAATTTATGACTTTGTGAGACAAACCAATCATTTGCAATATCCAGACATCAAATACTTCTTCAAAGATGTCAATAGATTATGAGAAACGGCTTCTCAATAGGAAATGGGAGACAACTTTCGAACTGAATGTCAAGCATTCAAACCAGAAGTTTAAGGCCAGACATGTTGAAAGCATTCGGAGCTTCGGATTCAGCACTTCCGTAGACATCGACACACAAACACTCAAAGAGGACGTCGAATACCTTTCCATTCACTTCCGAGTCGTCGGGACAACCAATACGGTGTCCGTCGGCTACGGAAGACTGCGATCGAAGAAGTTCTTGAAATTGAGGGTCGGATTGATTGACAAAAGCGGAAATGTGGTCAACAAGAAGTGTTGGCCAGAAGTGGACACAGAAGCCAAACAGTCGTACGGATGGCACGAATTCATGCAAAAGAATCGCGCAATGGATCCACAAATGGCTTTGTTTGACAAAAACTGTCTGAAGTTTTGGATTCAAATGGAAGTGAATGACGAGAAGCAGTCGACAAACTTTGACATCAGTTCTGTCATTGAAAAGCATTTCAGAGATGGATTCAAATCTCTGTTGTCTGACAAGAGTTTGTGTGACTTCACGGTCGTAGTGGAGGACCGGGAATATGGTGTCCATAAGGCAATACTGGCCGCCCGGTCGCCGGTCTTCAGGGCTATGATTGCGAGTGATATGAAGGAGAAGAGAGAGTCGAAAGTGATTCTCAAAGACATCGACAAAGAAGTGTTCGAAGAGTTGTTGCTCTTCTTATACACGGGAAGCGCACCAAAGATGCCAGAGTTGGCCCACAAGTTGTCAATTGTGGCCGATTTCTACGACATTGAGGACTTGAGGTATGTCTGCGCACACACTCTGTTCAGTGAACTGTCAAAAGACAATGTGTTGGAAGCGCTTAAATTCGGACAAACTTTTGCCATCAATGAACTGGTGGTGAATGCCATCGATTTCATTGCAACCAATGGCGAAGAACTCAAGACTCAACTCATTGTTAGGAATATTGAGAATTAGCACTCAATTCACACAACCTTTGGATCAAATGAATTCTCAATAAAAGTGAAAATCATTCACAAATAGTTTTAATTAGTTATCAAATAGTTAGAAAACTAACGGCTTTCTCAAAAATTTCATATCAGATGTGAATGAATCTAATCAATTGGTTTCTATAGAAAGCTATATGAATACAGTATTTCCTTATATACCTGTAATTCATTTGAGTGCTGTTTTCAAATTGTTTCACATTTCAGTTGACAATGAGTTCAATTAGCAGTGATTTTAATGAAATAGAGTTTGAGTTGAATATAAATAACTGTCCGTTTGATCCTCCGCCCACTTATGAAGAGGCCATCCATCAGAAGTCTGGAGCACAGACACTGAACCCTATGGCCATCCGTCGCACCCACCCTTCCTCGCCATTTATTAATCTCATTTATGAATCGTCTCACAGCCAAAGACAACCTATCGGTGCGATACCATCTCTGGAGGACAGACAGCGTAAGAGGATCTGGATCTGCTGGTGCTGTTGGTATTCCCCGTAAAGCTATCGGTTTATCACTGTTTTTCAATTCATATTCCGATCCCTATTTTGCACTTTAAATTAAAGTGCTCTCATATCATACAATATTACAAATTTTCATTATATTTGTTTATATCAAATATCAAATGATTTGTGATATAAAAAGCAATAAAATATTTTTTATCAAAACTGATAAATTTTAAAT